TTGTCAAGCGCTTGTACAGCTGGCTGTCAAAAGCAGGTTCAGAGAAAAAAATGCACTTACTTGTCCCCCTATTTTATTTCATGTCAGTGGTGTTCTGTTGGGAGAAAGTGTTTTTCTGTCAGCAGCTGTAACATCACATTTTGACAACTCCAGGCAAACTTCCACCATGCCTCAGGTTTAACCTGAACAGCTTGTTTTCAGCATCTTGTAACCCCACAGATGCCAGGGGTGGCTGTGGTGCTGTGAGCAGCTGCACAGTGGAGTTACTCCATGGTCACCTTCTCAATTCCAGTTTAATTAAAAACATCAACCCCATGGCCATGTGCCACTTCCACAGCCAGCAATGGTCTTGCTCAGCAGGACCATCAGGAATGTGAAATAACCACTTGTAGCAGCAGAGATCTTCAACTCCTATCTCTCAGTCCACTAAAAAGCTTGGGCTGGGACAGATTCTCAGATTTTATACTCTCTAAGCCAGAGTTCCAGGTAGAAGAAACTTCAGGCTGAGCAGGGTTATTGCTGCTGTCATCAACCATCTGTTCTGCACTTGGGGAGCCCTTGCCATGCCTGGCTGCTCTGAAGGCTGCTGCAGAGCATGTGGTGATCACTGGCACCCCAGCACCTCTGACAGAGCAGGCGAGGCAGAAAACAGCAGGATAAATATTCAGTTAGAGGACACCTAAGCCCTAAGGGGAGCAAAACCATGTCAAGGTTTGAGAATTGGGACTAGGACATTTGACAAGTGTTAGGGATCCACCAGGCAGGTCTAATCCTGCCTCAGTGGAGCAATGGAAGCACAAACACTGCCAAGGCAGCCCAATGCTCTTTATTGCAGTTAATGGTGAATGTGCCTATCTTTGGCAGGATGTCTGCTGGCCAAAGTCTAGCATTGTTGAAGGGTTTCAGAACTCAAGTAAGGTTCCCTTTTGTTTTCTCCTGGAACCAAATCAATAAGGTGTTTTCTTGAAGTGTGATTGTCCCATCTAGTGCTGCTCCAGCACTGCCCTGCTTAATCTTAGCAGAGTTGACTTTTTTAGGAATTTAGTTAAAAGGCAGGTCCCAAGCCCATTTCACAGAGCATTGATCCTCTACAGAAGACGGGTAAGACCAGAAAGAAGCTGCAAGCAGTTCCCAGGCTGAGATGGGACAGAGGATTTATCTGGTGTGAGATCTGCACATGCTTCTCTGTGTTTTATCCCTGTTTGGCAAGCACCACCAGGAGAAAGCAAAGGGCAATTCCCTTGGTTTAACCTCCTATTTAGCTCTGTCCTCTCCCCTCCCTGGCAGTCAGGAAGTCGCCAGGAGGCTCCTGGCAGCTGTTGACCCATCCTGCCAGCAAGCTTGAGGACACTCAGCTCCCTTCTTTGCATCTCACAGGAGCTGCTCAATTTAGCCACAACAGGCAGGGGCTCCAAGACACTGCATATGCCTTGCCTGCCCTTTTGCAGACCTGGCAACCAGGACTTTTCCACCTGCTCAGGCCCTCAGCAATACTTTCATTCTACCTTTTCATAAAGGTAAGGTTAAAATCCATGATTCACAGAAAGAGCCCATAGGATGTGGTAGGTGCACAGTCTGCGGTAACTGGGAGTGGGGCTGTGGCCAAGCCTCATCTCCAATGGGTCACATCTGTGCAGGAGAGCTGTGGAATTGTATGGAAGGCAATGAGACATGGAGTGCCCAGCTGCACTGACCAATTACAGAAGGGTACAGAGGGCACACAGGTGTAAGGCATGTAAGGTGAAGGTTATAGAAGGTTGGCATAAACAACAAAAAAGTGCAGGTGCTTGAAGCTTTCTGAGGTGGTGTGGTCTTACTCTGTGTATCACAGGTGTCTCAGCTGTGAAAGGATGTAGCTGATGAACCCAGGATGTAGGTAGAAAGCATGAACCAGTCTTCAGAAAAGCACTGAAGGGGAAGGAGTGGAAAATTTTCTTGCAAGTGCTTATGCACTACCACAAAAATCATCACAGACAATGAAATAAAAGCAGATGCAGAAATCAGGCCAGTGCTGCTGGGGGTCATCTTGAATGGTGACATTCTTGACTTACTATTTCTAATGGGAGGGCAGAGAGGAGCAAGGCAAAACTGTTGAACTTGCACACAAAGCTATCCTCAAACAGATAAAAGACAATTGTAGGCAAGATGAGTTTGGATTTTTACATTTTAATAAGTCTTTGAATTAATTATCACAGCAGTTGCTAGTAAGCATTCATTACACTTGTGGCAAAAGCTGAACACTGACCAGGGACTCCATGCCTTGCTTGAACTCTTCTCAACAGCAACTCTGTTCTAGTATATCTCTCCACGCTTTTTAAATTTGCCAGAAGAGATGGACTGAGCAATATTTCTGGAAGTGATATCAAAACTAGCAACATGACCATGCAGCCACAAAAGGAGCAGGGACCACAAGAGGAAGACCAGGCTCAGCCACAAGAGGAAGACCAGGCTCAGCCACAATTCTTCTGTTAATTCCTATCAGTATCGCTATAGAAATAGAAGTGATATTTCGAAGTGTTGGCTTGGGCTGTAAAGGGAAAGTAAAACACAGGTTAGAGACATTAGAAGCAACCCCCAGACATGATATCTGAGTACAGGCTAAGATAATCACGGTAATTGAATCTGGGTCAGACCTGCCCCATTATCAGAAGGGGCAGCAGCCAGGTTTGTCCCCCCAGGAGGTGGCACTCAGGGAGAGGGCACTGCCAGGGTGCAGCCAGAGCACAGGGACCCTGCAGGGGCAGGGGCTCTGGGGAGGCAGCGCTGCTTTGGAGCCCACGCCTGGCACTGGGCTGTGCCCTGCAGGCTGCAGGCTGTGTCCCAGTGCCCGGCTCACAGCCAGCAGCCAGGAGCTGCTCTGGGAGGCACCCAGGGCTCAGCCTGTGACACTCACCTGCTCACAGAGTGCTTTACCGTAACGGAGCTTTGTCACAAAGTGCTCACAGTTGCTGACAAACAAATTATATATCAACACCTTGTCAATCCATTTCTTAGCACGCTGGATAATCTCCTTCACAGGGAAAGGAGTGTGGTCCTGATCGTACTTGTTGTTGACACGCCATTTATCATTTCCTGCCACGGCCTTCAGGCGCTGCTTCTTCACCTTTGCCCCCATAGCGGTTATTCCCCCAATGCTGGCTGACATGGATGAATCATTTTTATCTGGGGAAGGCAAGGAAGAGATAAGGCAGGCAGGCAGACCTTCTCTGGCCCCTCCACAAGCTCAGATGGCCTTTGGACTGGTCCTGGAAAGCTCATCTACACACACAGAGTCCACCAGTAGCCCGAGGAGGGATGGAGGCCTCCTGGAGCTCCCCAATAACCCCTCTGCATCCTGTCAGGCTGCACCAGCCTTACCTTCAAGTGTCACATGGATGACATATCCATCCCCCATGTAGAGGGCCCAGTGCTGGTACCATGGCCGACAGATCTCAATCAGGTCCCCAGGGCTGGGACGTCCAAACATTGACCTTGTCATCTGTAATATGAGGAATGTGCGTTTGACCACCTAATAAAGCCCTCAGCTGGAGAACACACACTAAACCCTCAGCAATAAATTTAGTTTACTTTTTGAGAAAGTTAAGCTTAAAATCATTTTTTTCATAGAAAAAGTAATTGGATGTAGCTGATAAAAGCAGGATGAGGATAGAAGGCCTGCACCAGCACTCAGTAAATCACTGGAGGGGAGGTGGAAGCTTAAGGGAAGGAAAGTTTACTTTCAAGTGCTTTCAGATTGCCACAAAACTCATCACAGACAAAAAGTAAAAGCCCATATAACAAACAGGACAGTGCTGCTGGGGATCACCTTGAATAAAGATATGTATGACTCGGTATTTCTTAGTGGGGCAGCAGGGACAAGAAAACCATAGCGGAGAACTGTCACAAATTCCTCAGAGTATATGCCAAGCTCATCATATGGCAGTTCCATGTCAATGCAATCCTCAGCACACCAGATGATCTCCTCCACAGGCAGAGGTGTGTGGTAAAGGTCATACTTGTTGTTGACAGCCCAGTCATCCTTTCCCACCACCTCCTTCAGGAGCTCCTTTGTAGCCTTGACCTTGCTGATGGGTATTGTCACACCGCTGGCAGACAGGGGTGCAGCATTTTCATCTGGGGAAAGCAGGGAAGAGATAAGGCAGGCAGGTAGACCCTCTCTGTCCCCTCCAAAACCAGAGATGGCTTTTGGACTGCTCCTGGAAAGGTCATACACACACACAGGGTCCACATGGAGCAGACTATGGAGATAGAACAGGCTCCAGGAGCACCACAACACTCCCTCTGCACTCTGCCAGGCTACACCAGCCTTACCTACAGGTGTCATATGGATGACATATCCATCCCCCACATAGAGGGCCCATTGCATATAACTTCCCTTTTTGATCTCGATCACATCCCCAGGGTTGGGGCAGTCCTTTTCATCTGTCGTATCTCGAATGGTCATTTCACAACCTGCAGATGTCCTCGACTGGAAAACCATAGTAAACACTCAGCAGTAAATTCAGTATACTTGGAGGGATAGTTAAGGTTAAATCTTTCATAGAAAGAGCCAATAGGATGTAGCTGATAAAACAAGTATGAAGGTAGAAAGTCTGCACCAGCCCTTAGAAAAGCACTGGAGGGGAGGTGGCAGGGTAAGGAAAGGAAAATTTGCTTTCAAGTGCTTGTAGATTACCACAAATAACATCACAGACAAAAAGCAAAAGCCCATGTGACAAACAGGCCAGTGCTGATGGGGATCACCTTGAATGAATGGTATTTCTTGAATGAATGGTATTTCTTAATGGGATGGCAGGGAGCAGCAAGGCCACAATGGTGAACCTGCATGCAAAGCTGTGAAAAGAAGATTCTAGGCATGATGATTTTGGGTATTTATGCATTATTAAGGCTTTAATTTAATTATTTCTACAAAGGGTGGCAAAAGCAGGGCAGAGACGCTGTGCAGCCAGGGAATCCCTGCCTTTCTCTGAGCTTTTCCTGATGGCCCATCAGTGCTCTCTTTCTGGATTTCACCCCCAGCAAGCCCACCCACACAGTGAAGGCAACAGCACAGATCCTACTGCCAGCATGCAAACAGTTGTTCTCTTGGCAGGTAAAGGGAAAGCAAAACCCAGGCTGGAAACACGAACAGCATTTGCATTTAGCCCCAGGCATGGTAATGGAGAATAGGCAGGGGTAATCAGAACAAGCAAAGCAACAAGAGCCATGTGCCCCATTATCAGAAGGGGCAGCAGCCAGGTTTGTCCCCCCAGGAGGTGGCACTCAGGGAGAGGGCACTGCCAGGGTGCAGCCAGAGCACAGGGACCCTGCAGGGGCAGGGGCTCTGGGGAGGCAGCGCTGCTTTGGAGCCCACGCCTGGCACTGGGCTGTGCCCTGCAGGCTGCAGGCTGTGTCCCAGTGCCCGGCTCACAGCCAGCAGCCAGGAGCTGCTCTGGGAGGCACCCAGGGCTCACCCCTGGCACTCACCTGGTCTGAGACTCCTTCTCCATAGCGAAGCATTGTCATAAAGTGCTCACAGTTGCTACCAAGCACATCATATGTCATCTCCTTGCCAATCCATTGCTCAGCACTCCAGAGTATGTCCTCCATGGGTCGCGGAGCGTAGAAGTTGTCATACTTGCTGTTGACACACCATTTATGATTTCCCACCACCTCCTTCAGGAGCTCCTTCATCACCTTGGCCATTCTACTGAGATTTCTCCCATTGCAGGCTGACAATTTTTATCCGGGGAAGGCAGGGAGGAGATAAGGCAGTCAGGCAGACCTTCCCTGGCTCCTCCAAAACAAAGATGACCTTTGGACTGCTCCTGGAAAGGAGAGCTACACACACAGAGTCCACCACCCACAGCCCATGGAAAGAGACAGGCCTCTTGGGGCCAAGACCCTCCTCTACACCCTGATAGACATTTCACAGAATGCACCAGCCTTACTTTTCACGTAGATGATGTATCCATCCCCCATGTAGAGGGCCCAGTGTTGGTAACCTGGCCGGTCGACCTCGATCAGGTCCCCGGGCTGGGGATCGCTCCTGCCTTCTGCCATGGCGGGCTGGCGCAGTGAGGCGGTGCAGGTGCAGCCGGGCTGGCTGAGCGCAGGGCAGAGCGCAGCGGGCAGGCGAGGGCTGTGCAGGGGCAGCTGGCGGGAGCGCAGGCACGGAGGGTGTCAGCGGCGGGCGCCGAGGGCAGCGGCTGGCGGAGCGGGGCCGGGCCGGGCCGGAGCCGGCTCGGGGCCGCTGCCGCCCGCCGGCGCAGGGCGAGGCAGCGAAGGGCGCCGCTCGCAGGCAGCGCATCCGCCCGGGGCCGGGCCGGGCCGGGCCGGGCGGGCGTCCGGCTGCTGCCGCCGTGCCCGGCTGCCCCCGCCCGCCCGCCCGCCCGCCCGCCGTGCCCGCGCTCCCCTCCCGGCCGCGCTCCGCTCGGGGCTCCGCCGGCGCCGGGCCGGGCCCGCTCCGCTGCCGGGACGCGGCTCCCCGGGGCTGCCCGCGCTGCCCAGCCGGGCCCGGGCCCTGCGGCACCTGCGGCCGCCCGGCAGAGCCTGCAGGGGCCGCGTCCTGCTGGCAACGCCCGCTCGCATCCCCCGAGCCCCGCTCACCTCTGCACCTGTCCCACTGCTGCCGTGGCCGCGCTCCCGGCCCGCTGCTCCCAGTATAAATAGTTTTTTTCGAGGAAATTGCGCTATCGCTGGCGGTCACTGCCCTTCCTGGCCCCGCAGCTGCACGTCTGGCACCACCCATCCCGTGCAGCGGCAAGGCTCCGCTCCTTAGGGTAGTGCCTGTGCCGCTGCTGCCATGCTCTCTCGAGGCCCGCTGCTCCCGTTATAAGCTCATGGCAGAAGAAATTGCGTGAATCCTGCCGGGCTCACTGCTAGCGCTGCTCCGGAGCCGGCCCGTTCCATCACACTCGACCCCCACCCCAAAGAGGGCTCTGCTTCCAGTCTTGGTGCCAAGGAACTCCTGTTGATTGGAAAATCTCATCTTGTACCTGAGGAAGCCGAGCTGCCCCCTCATTGCAGTGAGCCTCTGTCCAGTGCAGATGCTCCTCCTGTCCAGTGATGGCCAACAGCACTATCCCTGTCATTCCACAGGACATCTCCTGGCAGAACAACCCCCCCTGGACGCTGATTAAAACCTGCCTTGGGTACTGTGAAAAATACATTCACTCTCTTGTGAAAAGTTAAAAGTTTAATAAAGGACAACAGGAGAAAAGGACCATACAGCAAAGGTTATTATGGCCGGGTGCATCATGGCACCCAGCCAAGAGCACACTGATTTTTGGGGATATCCCTTGAATACCTTTTCTCGTTACATTGGCCTGTTGCATATTTATAGACGCTTATACATATCCATAAACTAGTTTACATATTCCATAAACTATTTCACATGGCCCCTCCTTGGGTCCTCTTTATTAGAGCATGCATGTTTCTTGGCTGTGGTTTTGGCTCCTTCTCTTTATCATTTCCATTTTAGCCTTGGGTCCACACTGTCTTCAGACTGTGAGTGTTGATAGCTGGCTTATCTGTACCAAGTGTCCTCATCCTATGTTAATTGGATTTTATCTCATCCAAGCAGGCATTTTAACACCCACATAGCTATTTCACTAATATGTCTAAGCTTAATTAACAGGAGAAATAAAAAGTATATCTTTATAACAAAATTATTTTGACATCACACATATAAAATCCAGTTTAACATTTGCAAAAGGCCAATATTATCATAAGTATTTTTAACAGGTACCAGTCAAACAGTTGATGCCACAAATGGCAGAGGATGCTGCAGAGGGATTTGAAATGGCCCCATACAAATGCACAAGACTGTGCAACAAAAAGCCTGGATGAGTGTGGAGGCCCTGGAGAGGCTTCTCTTAAGGTACAACCCATTAGCTCCTTCCCCTGTTCCTATGCCTGAACATAGGTGTTCCTGAGGCTCTCCCTCCCTTTTCCCTGCTTGGGCCTCACCTTGATACTGCCTGGAGACCAAGGTCAGCCAGGAGTCCCCTGGGGGAGGGAGTGGGATCTTGGGGGGTGTGGTCTGAGAGCAGAACATCTCCCTGCGTGGCTGAATTAAACATCTATGGATATCATGCAAAAGCCTTTTTTGCTTCTACACCCCAGACTTTACTAGCAGCAATTTAGTCTGCAGCAGATTAGATTTATGTGAACCCACCTGCAAACACAATAAAGAGAGTGAGTGAGACCCTACAGCCAGGCTCTGAGCTGCACGATGCTGCGGCTTCAGCCCAAGTTTTCATCTTCTCATGTAACCCCGATTCACATGGCTGACATCCCTACAAAAGCCCCTCCTTTTAGGGAGGGGCTGCATCCGTCCTGGCTCTGCCTCAGAGCACATACATTGATATTGTTTTCAACTTTTGCGAAAAGAACAGCCTTGATTGTACTCATTGCCAGCTGTAAAACCACCTAACTGGTACAGCTGCAAAAAGTTTTGATTGCATTTCCAGGAATACAAGAAGGAGCTTCAGTTTCAGTTTCAGTTTGGTTATATCATGTTTTCCTGTATTAAAACTAAATAAATATTGGGAAGGATGTAATAACAAAGGAGAGCAAAAAAACAACAGGAATTCATGGCTTGATTATTTCAAGCATTGAAAAACTAATGTTTAACAAATGCAAAGAATTAATTATTTTTCTTTTTCTCAAGCCACAAGTTTTTCCGTTCAACTCCTCTGATTCCCTCCCTGATGGGGCTGCCAGGGCAGTGAGTGAGCAAGTGGCACCTGGTGCTTTGCTGCTTTCTGGAGTTAAACCTGGACAATCTGTTCAGAGCAGACAAAACCAGCCAGGCTCTCACACACAGCTCTTCTGCTCTCACCTGTCCCTGCAGGCCAGGCAGGTGCCTGTAACAAAAGCAGCACAGACTCTGTGTCTCACAGGTGGGATGCAGCTCACCTGCTTCCAAACACTCAAGGCAGATGCTCCAGGTAAAGGACAATCAAGCACACTTAGCCTGAAGAGTTTTCTTCCACGACAATGCACACATCAGCTTTGTGACAAGGGAATGGTGTGTCTCAGTGCATTGGGAGATGAAGCACAGGTGCTGCATAGCTCATTCTGCACATCCCTCACCGCCAGCACTGCAGGGACCCTGGCTTTGCCTTCCTGCTGGCTGGGGGAAGATTGATCTGGTGCTTTAGAATGCTTATGAATGCACTGGAATCAATATCTTGTCACTACATTGACAATGCCCACAACTCTGAGGGTCAATGTCCCCTTGATGCCTTATTAATTCTTTAAGCACCTCAGTGTTTTGGCAGCTCAAAGAGCAGAATCCTAGAAGGAGTTGAGAAGGGGATGAAAAGGGATCATAAAAATCACCTGGCAGGCTTGTTCTGCTCCAAGGTCAACAATCACTGCACATACGGTGCTGAAGTGTGAAATTTTGATGGCACAGTGGAAGAAAAAGCTGATTGAGAAAAAGTCAGCTGGGGTTTTTCTGTCAGACCTCCCCACACTGGGGCTCTGCTGCTGCTGCCTAAGAGAGTCAGATGAGCCAGGGAAAGGAACGCTTTGTAGGCAGGGAAAAACTGAGCAAAACACCATCTCCCCAAAATCAGAATGCCCTGTAAAACACAGGAGGATACAGCCTGTAAAACCTGCCCTTGCTTCCCATCTCCCCAGCTCCCAGGAGCTGCTCAGTTTGGGCAGCACAAGCTGCCGAAGGTTTCAAGACACAGCACATTCCCTGCCTGTCCTTTTGCAGACCTGGCAGCCAGGGCTTTCCCACTCTTACGGGTTTAGGCTTCTAGGGGAATTTTTCCCATATCCATGGTGAAGACCCTGAGAGTAGGAGAGGATGACTGCGTGGAGATGGATGGCGGGTGAATGAGCCCTGTAAGGGAAGGGGCTGATATCCCTGGCACATCAACGGAGTGGTTTGGGGAGGGGAATGGGGGTTTGGCAGTTTACTGGCTGTTGGTGCTGTCCTGCGCTCGGGGGAATCGGAGCCGTCTTGCGGTGCCGCGGGCAAGGCTGCGCTCTGTGCCGGGACTGGGCTGCGCCGTGAGCCGGCCCCGCTGCGTCTGTGTCCGTGTGTCGGTGTCCGTGTGTCGGTGTCCGTGTGTCTGTGTCCGTGTGTCTGTGTCCGTGTGTCGGTGTCCGTGTGTCTGTGTGCCGGTGTCCGTGTGTCTGTGTCCGTGTGTCGGTGTCCGTGTGTCTGTGTCCGTGTGTCGGTGTCGGTGTGCCGGTGTCCGTGTGTCTGTGTTCGTGTGTCTGTGTCCGTGTGTCGGTGTCTGTGTGTCGGTGTCCGTGTGTCGGTGTTCGTGTGTCGGTGTCGGTGTGCCGGTGTCCGTGTGTCTGTGTGTCTGTGTCCGTGTGTTGGTGTCCGTGTGTCTGTGTGCCGGTGTCCGTGTGTCTGTGTCCGTGTGTCTGTGTCCGTGTGTCGGTGTCCGTGTGTCTGTGTGCCGGCCCCGCGCTGTGCCGGAATCCGTGTGTCGGTGTCTGTGTCGGTGTCTGTGTGCAGTTCAGCACCGCGTTGGCGGTGGCTGCTCGGTGTACCGGCCCCACCCTGTGTGGGTGTCGGTGTCTGTGTGCCGGCACCGCGCTGTGTCCGTGTGTCGGTGTCCGTGTGCCGTCCCGCGCTGTGGCGGCGGCTGCTCGCTGTGTCGCTGTGTCGCTCCCCGCCCGTGCCGCCGCCGCCGCCGCCGCTCCCTCGCGGGTTCCCCGCGGCTCCCCCGGCCCCGCAGCCCCGGCACAGCCGCACCGCAGGGACAGCGGCGCTCCGCGGGTTGCGGCTCCGCGGGTGGAGCTCTTGGCAGACTTCTATCTTTTGTACCAGAACACAAACACACCAAGACTCAGCCGGTAAAACCTCAGCGGTCCTTTTTATTGCAGTGATACACAGAATGAGCCTCGAGGAGCTAGATGATCAAATCAGGAAGAAAAGTCTGCACCAGTGCTCGGCAAAGCACTCGAGGGGAGGTGTGTGGGATGGGGAAGGAATGGATAACTTGCTTGCAATTTCTCCCAGATTACCACAAAAACCATCACACACAATAAAATAAAAACTCATGCGGCAAGCAGACTCGAGCTGCTGGGGATCACCTTGAATGGTGACAATTTTGACTTGCTATTCCTTACTGGGATGGCAGGGAGAAGCAAGGCTGAATTTTTAAACTTGCAAACAAAGCTATACTCAAATAGATAAATAAGAATTTCAGGGAAATATGAGTGTGGATATCAGACATTTTATGAAGGCTTATTTAATGTTTACAGCAAGGGTGGCATAGTTGCTAAGAAGCCTTGATGGTGTTTTGCCCTGTTTTTTGTAGTTTTTCTAAGCCTTCTGATGTTTACCTTCTTGTAACAAACTTTGTCTAGCACTTTATGTCACCAACTTATTGTTCTGCATTCTTTCACAGAGGAGGAGAAATTTGATGGAAATTTGATGGAAATTGATGTTGGTTTGTCCAGTGTCATTGGAGTGTCACTTTTGGAAATCTATAAATGTCAGAGTCAGAAATCAAACACCCTCTTTTTTACCTTGGAGAGATGTGTGTACGCGTAGTTTTATTTCGTGTCCCATAGCGACAATGGAGTGTGTAGCAAAAGCTGGGCCGTGACCACTGTGGCAAGGAGCTCTCCCTGCCTTGCTCTGAGCTCTTCCTGACAGCCCGTCAGTGGTATGACCGCTCAGATTTGCCCCCGGAAAATGCCATCCGAACAACAGCAGAAACACCAGCAACAGCAGCAGCACCAGCAGCAGTAACAGCACCAACAAGAGGAAAAACAAATGCAAGGGGAGCCAATCCTAGAGTTGCAACACCACCAAAAGCGGCTTTTCTGGCCTATAAAAGGGAAAGCAAAACACAGGCTGGAAACATCATGACCACTTACATTTACACACCAACACTGAGCCCTTCAAAATGATAATATAGAAAAGGCAGGGAAAATGGGGGTTAATAAATCAGCAGGAGCCATGTGCCCCATTATCAGAAGGGGCAGCAGCCAGGTTTGTCCCCCCAGGAGGTGGCACTCAGGGAGAGGGCACTGCCAGGGTGCAGCCAGAGCACAGGGACCCTGCAGGGGCAGGGGCTCTGGGGAGGCAGCGCTGCTTTGGAGCCCACGCCTGGCACTGGGCTGTGCCCTGCAGGCTGCAGGCTGTGTCCCAGTGCCCGGCTCACAGCCAGCAGCCAGGAGCTGCTCTGGGAGGCACCCAGGGCTCACCCCGTGAAACTCACCTGGCGAGAGACTCCTTTTCCGTAGCGGAGCTCTGTCACAAAGTGCTCACAGTTGTCGGTAAGCGCATTATATGGCACCTCCCTGTCAATCCATTGCTCAGCATCCCGGATGATCTCCTCCACGGGGCGAGGAGTGCGTTTGCGGTCATACTTGTTGTTGACACGCCATCTATAATTTCCCACCACATCCTTCAAGCGCTGCTTCTTCACCTTGCCTCTTGTGGCACCTATTGAAGAGCTGCTAAGCCAAAGGGATGAGCATTCGTCATCTGCGGAAGCCAAGGAGGAGATAAAGCAGTCAGGCAGAACCTCTCTGGTCCCTCCAGGACATCAGATGGGTTTCCTCTGCTCCTGGAAAAGACAGCTACACACACAGAGTCCACCATCCACAGCCCATGGAGGGAGACAGGGCTCCTGGGGCATCCCAACATCATTTTGCACCTCGCCAGGCTGCAACAGCCTTACCTACAGATGTGAGGTGGATGACATATCCATCCCCCACGTAGAGGGCCCAGTGCTGGTAAAATGGTCTGAATATCTCGATCAGGTCCCCGGGCTGAGGTTTGCAATTCTTCTGTCCCATGGCGGGCTGGCGCAGTGAGGCGGTGCAGGTGCAGCCGGGCTGGCTGAGCGCAGGGCAGAGCGCAGCGGGCAGGCGAGGGCTGTGCAGGGGCAGCTGGCGGGAGCGCAGGCACGGAGGGTGTCAGCGGCGGGCGCCGAGGGCAGCGGCTGGCGGAGCGGGGCCGGGCCGGGCCGGAGCCGGCTCGGGGCCGCTGCCGCCCGCCGGCGCAGGGCGAGGCAGCGAAGGGCGCCGCTCGCAGGCAGCGCATCCGCCCGGGGCCGGGCCGGGCCGGGCCGGGCGGGCGTCCGGCTGCTGCCGCCGTGCCCGGCTGCCCCCGCCCGCCCGCCCGCCGTGCCCGCGCTCCCCTCCCGGCCGCGCTCCGCTCGGGGCTCCGCCGGCGCCGGGCCGGGCCCGCTCCGCTGCCGGCACGCGGCTCCCCGGGGCTGCCCGCGCTGCGCGGCCGGGCCCGGGCCCTGCGGCACCTGCGGCCGCCCGGCAGAGCCTGCAGGGGCCGCATCCTGCTGGCAACGCACGCTCGCATCCCCCGAGCCCCGCTCACCTCTGCACCTGTCCCGCTGCTGCCGTGGCCGCGCTCCCGGCCCGCTACTCCCAGTATAAATAGTTTTTTTAGAGGAAATTGCGTTATCGCTCTGAGGTCACTGCCCTTCCTGGCCCGTCAACTGCACGTCTGGCACCACCCATCCCGTGCAGCGGGAGGGCTCCGCTCCCCTATAGTAGTGCCAAATACAGCCGTCGAGTTGAAAATGTCATCTTGGTATCGAGGAAGTGTGGCCATCACCTCATTATGGGGAGACTCTATCCCTAAGTCATCCTCCCATCCTCCAGTGATGGGATAGCCCTGACCCTGCACTCTGTCACTCTGCTGGATGCATTTTCCTCCAGAAAAACAACCACTGGATTATGATTAAACCTGCCTTGGGTAACAGTCTATCAGCTGCTACCAAAAATGGCAGAGGATGCTGCAGAAGGATCCCAAATGGCCTCAGGTAAACACCAAAGACTTTGCAGCAAAAAGCTGATGGATTAGATTTATGTTAACCCCCCCACAAACACAGACAAGGGGACCAGGTTGAACAAGGCTGGGGCTTCCCGGGCCTGCACTGAATCAGCCCAGGTTTTCATCCTCTGATGTGCATTACATAGATGCTTGAAATGTCTACAAATGCCCTTCTGTTTAGGGAAAGTCTGTGCCCCTGCCCCTGATCACAACCACGGATATTTCTTTCCAGTCTTGAGAAAAGAACAGCCTTGACTCTATTCCATGGCAAATGCAGATCTCGGGTCTTGCCAACAGCTCCTACAAATGCTCAAAATGCAGCAATTAATGGATTCTGCTGCTCCTCCTCACACTCTCATTTTATGGTTTGGGAAGTGTTCCACCAAATCCTGTCAATGCACCCACCAGGCTCCAAGGAAAAGCTGCCCATAATGAACAACATCACCCTGACTGCAAAGAGATGCCCAGTACAACTACAAACTTCTGCAGTTTGGGAAATCTTGCAGCTTTCAAGACGAACAATACAATTCCCCAGACAAACTAATGCCAGTTCACACTACAACACTCTTGTCTTCCAGGGTGAAGTAGAGATGTGAGAGGTTCGTATGCTGCCCTCACACGGTGCTCACTTGTCAGGGTGTGCAGAGAAAATGCTCTGAGAGCAGAAAGGCTACTCAGGTTACTGTATAACATAAATAGTTTGCCCATGAAAGAAGTTTCAATTGCATTTCCAGGAATTGAAAAACGAATTTAATTTCAGTTTCATTATGATGTGTTGTCCTGTATTAAAGCCAATGTCTTACTCAGAGGTCATAATAAACAAAAATAAATGAAAGATCAACTTTGTTATTTTGACAGTGGAAAAACCCCAGTTTAGAAAAGCAGTGAAATCATTCCTTCCTTTGCTTTCCTCTAATGGAGAGCTTTTGGTTAACCTACTAAACCATCTTTTTCTCAAGCCACAAGTTTTTCACAGCAACTCTTCTGATTCCCTCCCTGATGGGGCTGCCAGGGCAGTGAGTGAGTGAGCAAGTGGCACCTGGTGCTTTGCTGCTTTCTGGAGTTAAACCTGGACAATCTGTTCAGAGCAGACAAAACCAGCCAGGCTCTCACACACAGCTCTTCTGCTCTCACCTGTCCCTGCAGGCCAGGCAGGTGCCTGTAACAAAAGCAGCACAGACTCTGTGTCTCACAGGTGGGATGCAGCTCACCTGCTTCCAAACACTCAAGGCAGATGCTCCAGGTAAAGGACAATAAAGCACACTTAGCCTGAAGAGTTTTCTTCCAAGACCATGCACACATCACCTTTGTGACAAGGGAATGGTGTGTCTCAGTGCATTGGGAGATGAAGCACAGGTGCTGTACAGCTCATTCTGCACATCCCTCACCGCCAGCAATGCAGGGACCCTGGCTTTGCCTTCCTGCTGGCTGGGGGAAGATTGATCTGGTGCTTTAGAAGACTGATGAACGTTTTGGAATCAACATTTGGTCACTGAAGTGACCTTGCCCAAGCTCTGGCAGGCAGAGTCCCCTTGCTGCCCTTACAATTCTTTAAGCACCTCAGTGTTTTTTTGGAAACTGAAAGAGAAGAATCCTAGAATGGACTGGATTGGAAGGGACTATAAAAATACCCTGGCATGCTTATTCAGGTCCAATGCCAGCAACCACTGCACTTACAGGATGATGGGAGAAAACTTCAAGGCACAGTGGAATAAACAGCGGATAGAGAGATATCCACTGGTTTTCCTGTCAGACCTCCCCACACTGGGGGGTCTGCTGTTCCCAAAGAAAGTCAGAAGAGCCTGGGAAATGTACACTTTATAGGCAGGGAAAAAGTGAGTAAAACTCCATCATGCCAAATTTAGAGCATGCCTGTAAAACACTGACTTTGTTTCTCAATGGGATATCAGGGAGAAGCAAGGCTGGACTGTTGAACTTGCACACAGAACTATATTCAGATAAAAGAGGATTTTAGGGCAATATGATTTTGTATTGCAGAGATTTTATTGAGGATTGCTTAGTGTTTACAGCAAGGGTGGCAGGGTTGCAAGCAAGTCTTGAAGGCAGGTGTTGTAAAAGCTGGCCTGTGACTGCTGTGGCCAGGGACTGTGACTGACCATGTCTGAGCTCTGTCTGAGAGCCCATCAGTGGCACTATCTCCTGGATGTGCTCTCAGACAATGCCATCCCAACAAGAGCAGCTCCAGCAAGAATGATACTTCCTACTGCTGCTGCAGCACTACCAGTAGCTGCTTTACTGACCTGTAAAAGAGAAAACAAAACACAGGCTGGAAACATGAGGGGCATTTATATTTACAACACTCTAGGATGATAATCTGGAAAAGGCAGGGATATTCAGGGTAAATAAATCATTGACAGCCATGTGCCCCATTATCAGAAGGGGCAGCAGCCAGGTTTGTCCCCCCAGGAGGTGGCACTCAGGGAGAGGGCACTGCCAGGGTGCAGCCAGAGCACAGGGACCCTGCAGGGGCAGGGGCTCTGGGGAGGCAGCGCTGCTTTGGAGCCCACGCCTGGCACTGGGCTGTGCCCTGCAGGCTGCAGGCTGTGTCCCAGTGCCTGGCTCACAGCCAGCAGCCAGGAGCTGCTCTGGGAGGCACCCAGGGCTCACCCCGTGACACTCACCTGGTCTGAGACTCCTTCTCCGTAGCGAAGCATTGTCACAAAGTGCTCACAATTGCTGTTAAGCACATTGTATGGCACCTCCCTGTCAATGCATAGCTCGGCACGCCGGATGATCTCCTTCACAGGGAAAGGAGTGCAGGAGCTGTCATATTTGTTGTTGACACGCCATCTATGATTTCCCACCACATCCTTCAGGAGCTCCTTCTTCACCTTGGCTCTTGTGGCACGTATTGAAGAGCTGCTAAGCAAAATGGATGAGGCTTCATCTGCGGAAGGCATGGAGGAGATAAGGCAGTCAGGCAGATCGTCTCTGGCCCCTCCAGGACCTCACATGGGCTTCTGATTGCTCCTGGAAAGAACAGCTACTCATACAGGGGCCCAGGGAGGGAGACAGGGCTCCTGGGGCATCCCAACACTCACTCTGCACCTTGCCAGGCTGCACAAGCCTTACCTGTCACATGGATGACATATCCATTTCCCACGTAGAGGGCCCAGTGCTGGTAAAGAGGCCGGAATATCTCGATCAGGTCCCCGGGCTGGGGTTTGCAATTGTCCTGTCCCATGGCGGGCTGGCGCAGTGAGGCGGTGCAGGTGCAGCCGGGCTGGCTGAGCGCAGGGCAGAGCGCAGCGGGCAGGCGAGGGCTGTGCAGGGGCAGCTGGCGGGAGCGCAGGCACGGAGGGTGTCAGCGGCGGGCGCCGAGGGCAGCGGCTGGCGGAGCGGGGCCGGGCCGGGCCGGAGCCGGCTCGGGGCCGCTGCCGCCCGCCGGCGCAGGGCGAGGCAGCGAAGGGCGCCGCTCGCAGGCAGCGCATCCGCCCGGGGCCGGGCCGGGCCGGGCGGGCGTCCGGCTGCTGCCGCCGTGCCCGGCTGCCCCCGCCCGCCCGCCCGCCGTGCCCGCGCTCCCCTCCCGGCCGCGCTCCGCTCGGGGCTCCGCCGGCGCCGGGCCGGGCCCGCTCCGCTGCCGGGACGCGGCTCCCCGGGGCTGCCCGCGCTGCCCAGCCGGCCCGGGCCCTGCGGCACCTGCGGCCGCCCGGCAGAGCCTGCAGGGGCCGCATCCTGCTGGCAACGCACGCTCGCATCCCCCGAGCCCCGCTCACCTCTGCACCTGTCCCGCTGCTGCCGTGGCCGGGCTCCCGGCCCGCTACTCCCAGTATAAATAGTTTTTTATGGGCGATTGCGCAATCGCTGTGCGGTCGCAGCCCTTCTTGGCCCCGCAGCTGCACGTCTGGCACCACCCATCCCGTGCAGCAGCAAGGCTCCGCTCCCTAGCGTAGTGCCAAATACACCCATCCCGTTGAAAATGTCATTTTGGTATCAAGGAAGTGTGGCCACCACCTCATTATGGGGAGACTCTATCCCTAAGTCATCCTCCCATCCTCCAGTGATGGGACAGCCCTGACCCTGCACTCTGTCACTCTGCTGGATGCATTTTCCTCCAGAACAACAACCATCTGGATCGTGATTAAATCTGCCTTGGGTATCAGTCTATCAACTGCTACCAAAAATGGCAGAGGATGCTGCAGAGGGATCCCAAATGGCCTCAGGTAAACACCAAAGACTTTGCAGCAAAAAGCTGATGGATTTGATTTATGTTAACTCCACCCACAATCACAGACAAGGGGACCAGGTTGAACAAGGCTGGGGCTTCCCTGGCCTGCACTGAATCAGCCCAGGTTTTCATCCACTGATGTGCACCACATTCAGATGCTCAAAATCTCTTCAAAAGGCCTTCTGTTTTGGGAAAGTCTGTGCCCCTGCCCCTGACCACAACCAAGGATATTTCTTTCCAGTCTTGGGAAAACAACAGCCTTGACTCTATTCCATGGCAAATGCAGGTCTGTGACCTTGCCAACAGCTCCTACAAGGGTCAAAATGCAGCAAGTGATGGATTCTGCTGCTTCTCCTCACACTCTCAGCTTATGGTTTGGGCTGTGTTTCACCAAATCCTGTCATTGCACCCACCAGGTTCCAAGGAAAGGCAGCCCATAATGAACAACTGTTACAGGGCTTGCATGGGTCTTTCAGGGGTGAAGAGAGAGACGAGAATTGTGTCTCCATGATCACAAGGCTGGATTTATTATTTTATGATACATAAGACATTTAGACTATACTAATAGGAATAGAGAGAAAAGTTCAGAAGCTGCTAAGCTAAGAATAGAAAAGGAACGAATCATCAACGGAGCTCTCTCTGATCTGTCCCAGAAAGAGCTTGGCCCCTGATTGGCCCCTAATTGTAAAAATGTAACATGGCCTAATCACAGGTGCACCTGTTGCATTTCACAGCAGCAGATAACCCCTGTTTACATTCTCTTGCTGGGGCCTCAGCTTCCCAGAAGAGGGAAAAATCCTAAAGAAAGGATTTTTATTAAAAGATGTCTGTGGCAAACAACATCACCCTGACTGCAAAGAGATGCCCAGTACAACTACAAACTTCTGCAGTTTGGGAAATCTTGCAGCTTTCAAGACGAACAATACAATTCCCCAGACAAACTAATGCCAGTTCACACTACAACACTCTTGTCTTCCAGGGTGAAGTAGAGATGTGAGAGGTTCGTATGCTGCCCTCACACGGTGCTCACTTGTCAGGGTGTGCAGAGAAAATGCTCTGAGAGCAGAAAGGCTACTCAGGTTACTGTATAACATAAATAGTTTGCCCATGAAAGAAGTTTCAATTGCATTTCCAGGAATTGAAAAACGAATTTAATTTCAGTTTCATTATGATGTGTTGTCCTGTATTAAAGCCAATGTCTTACTCAGAGGTCATAATAAACAAAAATAAAAAATATCAACTTTGTTATTTTGATAGTGGTAAAAGCCCAGTTTAGAAAAGCAGTGAAATCATTTCTTCCTTTGCTTTCCTCTAATGAAGAGCTTTTGGATACCTACTAAACCATCTTTTTCTCAAGCCACAAGTTTTTCACAGCAACTCTTCTGATTCCCTCCCTGATGGGGCTGCCAGGGCAGTGAGCGAGCAAGTGGCGCCTGGTGCTTTGCTGCTTTCTGGAGTTAAACCTGGACAATCTGTTCAGAGCAGACAAAACCAGCCAGGCTCTCACACACAGCTCTTCTGCTCTCACCTGTCCCTGCAGTCCCTGCAGGCCAGGCAGTTGCCTGTAACAAAAGCAGCACAGACTCTGTGTCTCACAGGTGGGATGCAGCTCACCTGCTTCCAAACACTCAAGGCAGATGCTCCAGGTAAAGGACAATCAAGCACACTTAGCCTGAAGAGTTTTCTTCCAAGACCATGCACACAGCAGCTTTGTGACAAGGGAATGGTGTGGCTCAGTGCATTGGGAGATGAAGCACAGGTGCTGCACAGCTCATTCTGCACATCCCTCAGCCCCAGCACTGCAGGGACCCTGGCTTTGCCTTCCTGATGGCTGGGGGAAGATTGATCTGGTGCTTTAGAACACTTATGAACACTTTGGAATCAATGTTTGGTCACTGAAGAGAGAATTGCCACAGCATCACAACATCACCCGAGGAAAGACAGATGTTGCACCGCCGTAATTGCTTTTGTGGCCTATAAAAGAGTAAGCAAAACACAGGCTGGATACATGATGAGCAGTTATATTTACCACTCCTTAGCACGATAATATAGAAAAGACAGGGATAATAATGGTAAATAAATCAGTGAGATTCATATGCCCCATTAGCACAAGGGGTAGCAGCCAGATTTGTCCCCCCAGGAGGTGGCACTCAGGGAGAGGGCACTGCCAGGGTGCAGCCAGAGCACAGGGACCCTGCAGGAGCAGGGGCTCTGGGAAGGCAGCGCTGCTTTGGAGCCCACGCCTGGCACTGGGCTGTGCCCTGCAGGCTGCAGGCTGTGTCCCAGTGCCTGGCTCACAGCCAGCAGCCAGGAGCTGCTCTGGGAGGCACCCAGGGCTCACCCCTGGCACTCACCTGGTCTGAGACTCCTTCTCCGTAGCGGAGCTCTGTCACAAAGTGCTCACAGTTGCTGGTAAGCACATCATATGTCAACTCCTCGCCAATCCGTTGCTCAGCACGCTGGATGATCTCCTTCACAGGGAAAGGAGTGTGGAAGCGGTCATGCGTTTTGTTGACACGCCATTTATGATTTCTCACCACATCCTTCAGGAGCTCCTTCTTCACCTTGGCTCTTGTAGCCTGTATTGATGAGCTGCTTAGCCAAAGGGATGAGGCTTCTTCATCTGGGGAAGTCAAGGAGCAGATATGGCAGTCAGGCAGATCCTCTCTGGGCCCTCCAGGATATCACATGGATTTCTGACTGCTCCTGGAAAGGTCATCTACACACACAGAATCTACCAGCAGCAGACCATAGAGGGAGACAGGGCAACTGGGGCATCCCAACACCTTATGTTCCTAGCCAGGCGGCACAAACCTTACCTGTCAAGTGGATGACATATCCATCCCCCACGTAGAGGGCCCAGTGCTGGTAACCTGGCCGGTCAATCTCGATCAGGTCCCCAGGCTGGGGGTCGCTCCTGCCTTCTGCCATGGCGGGCTGGCGCAGTGAGGCGGTGCAGGTGCAGCCGGGCTGGCTGAGCGCAGGGCAGAGCGCAGCGGGCAGGCGAGGGCTGTGCAGGGGCAGCTGGCGGGAGCGCAGGCACGGAGGGTGTCAGCGGCGGGCGCCGAGGGCAGCGGCTGCCCCGCTGACCGGACCGCTGGGCCGGAGCCATCTCGGGGCCGCTGCCGGGGCTGGGCCGGGCCCACTCTCTTCCCCTGAGTCCTGCTCACCTCAGTGCCTATCCTGCTGCTGACGTGGCTCCCGGCCCGCTACTCCCAGTATAAATAGTTTTTTAGAGGAAATTGCGCAATCGCTTGGCCATCACTGCCCTTCCTGGCCACGTAGCAGCACGTCTAGCACCACTCATCCCGTGCAGCAGCAAGGCTCCGCTCCCTAGGGTAATGCCAAATATAGCCGTCAAGTTGAAAATGTCATTTTGGTATCAAAGAAGTGTGGCCACCACGTCATTATGGGGAGACTCTATCCCTAAGTCATCCTCCCATCCTTCCATGCGCCAGTGATGGGACAGCCCTGACCCTGCACTCTGTCACTCTGCTGGATGTATTTTCCTGCAGAATAACAACCACAGGATCATGATTAAATCTGCCTTGGGTACTAGTATATCAGCTGCTAACAAAATGGCAGAGGATGCTGCAGAGGGATCCCAAATGGCCTCAGGTAAACACCAAAGACTTTGCAGCAAAAAGCTGATGGATTAGATTTAGGTTAACCCTCCCCACAAACACAGACAAGGGGACCAGGTTGAACAAGGCTGGGGCTTCCCTGGCCTGCACTGAATCAGCCCAGGTTTTCATTCACTGCTGTGCACTACATTCAGATGCTCAAAATCTCTACAAATGCCATTCTGTTTCGGAAAAGGCTGTCCCCCTGCCCCTGACCACAACCAAGGATATTTCTTTCCAGTCTTGGGAAAACAACAGCCTTGACTCTATTCCATGGCAAATGCAGGTCTAGGACCTTGCCAACAGCTCCTACAAAGGTCAAAATGCAGCAAGTGATGGATTCTGCTGCTCCTCCTCACACTTTCAGCTTATGGTTTGGGCTGTGTTCCACCAAATCCTGTCATTGCACCCACCATGTTCCAAGGAAAGGCAGCCCATAATTGGAGTGAAACCCTCAGGTTTAGCCAGGGCCCCGTGGAGAATCTGAATAATAGAATGCTGACACAGCAGCAAAGAAGCTTCCTGACTCCAGGGACATCCACCCTATAACCTATCCCTATAGCCATTTAAGGCAATATCTTGTTAACCCTACTGTTGGTCACTTATGGTCCCTCTAACCTTTTGCCATTGGTCAAGATTGGAACTGGGCCAAGGGTATAAAAGTAGCACACTCTACCCCTACTAACTCAGAAGAAGAAGTGCTGAGACCCTTCACAAACCCCTCCAATAAAGCCATACTCGTGGAACAGCCGGCGTCTTCTCCTTCTCCTCTCTCTCCGTCTGCTGGAGCCTCAAGCCAAGGGAAAGCTACCTAGCAAGCAAAGCTGAAATCATAAGAGCTGCCTAATCTGCCACTAAGAGCTGAATATTCCCTGCTTGCTAGGGGCTGATCCGCGGCCTTGGTCTGAGAGAGCTGGCCTCTGGCACCCAGTCCCCTTGGGGGCTGAGCTCTGGTGCTGTAATAGCTTGCCTAGGATAAGACCAATTAAGGGTCATTTAAGTGGAGCTCAAAGGTGTCCTCGGACCCCTACCCCCAGGGGCAAAACCTCACTGAGGCATGGGAGCCTTTTCCGGGTCTCCTGTGTTTGCCTGTTCGGGAAGCCTCTCCTTCTGCACAAGGACTTTTTGTTTTAGAAAATCCTCTCTGTGGAAGGGTCGATTCGACCCTCAACACATACATCTGGACGAGATAATGTCTGAGGAGAATTGAGCAGCAGAACCCCTCCCACAGACCCCTGACCCCAAAGCACATAAGTATTACGTAAGATTGCACGCATACCTTTGGATGCTCTAAAAAACCTTTTTCATTTTTTTTTTCTTGTTTTTCTGTGGAAAGGGCTTGAAAATATGGGTACTTCTTTAAGCATCCTGAAACTAACCACACTTGAGAGAGAGTTGTATTTAACCATTGTAGAAACCTTATCTGTTAATGTTTTCTCTTTTTCTAAAGGTAGTCTGTCAAAAAAGACTCTTAAAAATTTGTTACTTGGATTGTGGCACAATTTTCTGAAACTCATAAAACCACAATTACTGAAAATTCTTTCTGGGATACGGTTGGAAACACTATTTATATGTCTCAAACAAAACAGGGCTTTTTTGTTACTAACTTCTTACCTGTATTTCATATAATAACAAAAACAGTTGAAAAATCCAATTCTGAAAATTCTGCACACTAACATATCTTTCCTCTTCATATGCTAATTGTGCTGATAAGATAACAGAGGTATGTGCCTTGCATGCCTCAGAGTTGCTGGGCTCTGCAGGGCTTCCTGCAGATACCACCTCGCAGGCAGAGGCCAAGCAGTCCCCCCCGGACCCCCTCTCCCTTGCCCCAGAGCCAGCAGCGCTCACCATGGTCGTCCCCCCCCCCCCCCCCCCACTCACTCGCGGGACCCACGCTGCCCAACTCCCTGTTCCTGGCCTGGGCCGTAGCCGCCGTTGTAGCCCCTCATCCCCCCGGCTCCGCTTCCTTCCCGCTCCCGGGGGCCCCGCTCCCTGCCCCTGCCGCTGTCGCCCCCGCTGCAGCCACCCCTCCCCCTGCGCCGGTCTACCCCCTCTCTGTTACCCCCGCCCCCGTGCTGCCTTTGTCCCCTCCCGTCGCCGCGATCCCAGTCCTCGCTACCCCCGTGCTGCCTTTCCCTGCCCCTGCTTCCTTCATCGCCATATCCCCCGCTCCCGCTGCTGCCCCCGCCCTGCCCCCCGCCGTGCCACCCATGCTCTCCGGCCCCGTTATCGCTGCTGGCCCCCCCAACCCCCCGACCCCCGTGGCCGCCCTCCCCGCCATCACCGCCCCCGTTCCCGCCCCTCTCGACACCGCCCCGGCCCTCCCGGCCCTGGCTGGGAGCGGGGCGGCCCCTCCTGCCACTTTCCCGAGCCACACCCACACCCTATCCCTCAGCACCGAGCCTCGCACATGCGCAGTAACACCAGCTCCCCCTATACCTGTAGTATCCCAAGCCAGCGGCACTGCTTGCACACCCCCAAACCCCCCAGGCGTGCATCCCCAGCCCGCCCACCCTCCCTGCCCCCATGCATCCCTCCAACCCCTGACCCAATCCTCCTGCCACCCGAACAGATCAGAGACCACCTGTGGCGTTCCCCTCCCCACCCAGTCCGGTCTCTGCTGTGCTGCAACCCCTCACCCAATAGTGCCAACTTCTGGCCAGTCATTGAGAACCTTAAAAAACGCTTCTAAACGAAAAAAAAGGAATTCACAGGTAGCAAATCCCTCACAGCTTTCCTCAGACAATGAGAGCTTCTCCGATGAATCTGATTTTGATGCAATTAACATAGACCCATGGGCTCTTATTGAGATAGAAGCTATGAAGTCGGGGAATTGGAACCTAGCACAGAAAATCACAGCCTTTCTGGTTGAGTACAGGCAAGGAAGGAATGGTGGGGAATCTAATATCAAGACATGGAAACCAATTTCTAATAAGGAACTAATGCAATTGAGAAATATAGCCAAAGAACATGGACGTAGTTCCCTAATTTTTAGAAATTTCCTAGAAGCCATGTTCTCTGCACATGTTTTGCTTCCTCATGATGTAAAAAATATTTCACAATGCCTCCTGTCCCGGGCAGAATATTTGTTATGGGACAGGCATTTGAAGAAACACTTAAAAACATTATCAGATTCATATACTGCTGATGCTACTAAGACCAACTTTACAGTAGACCAGCTGTCTGGCGAAGGAGACTTACAAAAGCCAGCGGAACAAATGAAACTCTGAATAAAGAAGCGCTGCAGGATGTAGCAATCGCAGCTAAAACCTCCTTGCTTCTTATGCAGGATGAGTCAATGCCAACAATATATTTTTCTACCATTAAACAAGGCATTGAAGAAAGCTTTGTAAAATTTGTAGACAGACTTAGAGATGCTTTGGAGAAACAGATAGAGAGTGCAGAGGCAAGGAAGGAACTCTTATGTAAGCTTGCTTTCAGCAACTCAAATGAGAAATGTAAGGCCATTTTGAGGTCTTTACCTGTGGATTCAAACCCTACTATAGAGCAAATGCTAGAATGCTGTACACGTCACATGTCCACTGAAAATACAGTGGCCCAAGCAGTTGCTAAGGGTATTGCTGAAGGAGTTTCTGGTGCATATGCAGTCATAACCTCTAAAGAACAAGCTAAATGCTATCACTGTGGAGAACTTGGATATTATATAAGGGACTGCCTGGAGAGATCACCCCCCCGATACCATCGTAATTATTATCAAAGACCCCAAAATCAGCAACGCTATCAGCTGCGTCCTTTAAACTCCTTGAGCCACCTGGTGGACCTTCGAGCGCAGAATATAAATCAAAGGCTACCCACACCCAATCATGCACAAACCCAGGCTGCTCCAGACCCAAAGAAGAAGCCCCAACCCAAGGGACAGCCCAAATGGGTACCCCCCAGCAACTGGTAACTGCTTTGTCCATTGACTTTAATGATAAGAATGTTCACCATGTTCCCATAGGAAAATATGGACCTAAAGGGAGTCCTTCAGACATTTTAATTACAGGTGACTCTCTTAATACTCCAAAGGAAATCTTTGTTGTTCTGGAAGTGTTGACAGTGCAGCCGGGACAAGAGATCCTCGTGCAGGTATATTGCATAGACTTACCATTTTTTCTTTTTAAGGGAACTCCAATAGCTCAGGCCTTCTTACTCCCAAAGAATCACAGGGAACAGATTCCTCTCAACCCTACAGCTATGTGGGCACAAGTCATGGGACCATCCAGGCCTACCATCGAGTGTGGCCTCTCCTACAAAGGAGAGAAGACCCACCTGCCAGGGATGCTGGACACCGGTGCAGATGTGACCATCATCGCCCGTTCAGATTGGCCAGCACACTGGGATCTACAACCTGTTGCAGGCATGATTTCCGGGATTGGTGGAGCTACAGTAACCATGACGAGCAAGAACAACATCCTCATTGAAAGGCCTGAAGGCAAGCTGGCAACCATCCGTCCATTGTAGTAAGGGCCCCCATCACCCTTTGGGGCAGAGACGTTTTATCCCAGTGGGGAGCTTCCCTATGTATTCCAATTTAGGATTTCTAACTGGGGCCACCAAGTTGAGTGTGCTGCCAGAAACACCCCGTCTCACCTGGAAAAGCCACGAGCCAATCTGGACTGAGCAGTGGCCCCTAAAGAAAGCCAAGCTGCACGCCCTAAACGCCCTTGTGGAGGAACAGCTCAAAAAAGGCCACATAGTGGAGTCCGACAGCCCTTGGAACTCTCCAGCCTTCGTTCTACCAAAGCCTGGTACAAACAAGTGGAGGCTTCTCCATGACCTTCGCAGAATCAACGAGGTTATCGAGGACATGGGCCCTCTTCAGCCTGGCCTGCCCTCCCCATCGATGTTGCCTAGAGACTGGACGCTTGCTATCATAGACATTAAGGACTGTTTCTTCAGCATTCCACTCCATCCATTCCTGAGGATGCTCCACAGTTTGCTTTCTCCATTCCTTCTATTAACAAAGAAGCTCCGCTCAAAAGATATCATTGGTGTTATCTTCCTCAGGGCCTAAAAAACT